ATTTGATCATTGATAAAATTAATATTTCCTTAACAATAGAACGTGATTGAAACGTTCAGCTGATTTTTACAGAGTTATCTCCCTGCAGTGTAATGTACCACCTTAACTACGTTCAGATGAAATATTCTACTTTGAAAAGAATTAAAGTGAGAGAAGTGTAGCCGAGAACTTTTTGAATGCCACTGAAATATACGGTTATATTTGAAGGGAAAATTATTGAAGAAATTATACTAATTAAATATCAGTAAAATATTTAATTACAGCAATTAACGGCTAGGTATACAATATTTCAAATCAAGATAGTTCAGGAAAATATGTCATTCAAGAAAAATGTTAATTGATAATTCAAAATTATCGTCATTGTGTAGTGCGGAAGCGGAAGCTACGATTCGTTCTATAAATTGACTTAAATTGTTCATATTCGCTTCCTTTTATTACTATTTATTGAACGATATTAGTAAATGCAGTTCAAAGCAATCATAATGAAATACAATCAACCTCATGCACAACAGCCAATATATATTAATACCATTATAATATTAATTGATTCTAAGTTTCAAAACATTCCACCCTAAATCTTTAAACGTAAGGCGTATAATTGCGACCACAACCACAAAGACCATAACAAAATGAATGTAACAACTGGTTAATGAGCTCTTGGTTAAAAATGGCTCAATGAAATGTGCAGAATGCGAATATTAAACAGCAATACAGCAATTCATCGACTAAAGTGGAAAAAAAATAAACAATGGACATATATTTCTAAGGGAGCTACCATTTGATTTTTTTTATTGGGGGGGGGGGGGGGGCTAGGATGAAATTTTAAAAAAAATAGGCAGGACAGGAGTTTTGAGTAAAAAAAAAAGGCAGGATGAGGCACTTGCAAAAAAAAAAGGTCAGGATGACAATTTAGGTAAAAAAAAGTCAGGTTAAACTTTTAAAAAAGGCAGGACCGAATAGAGTGAAAAATAAAAAGGCAGAACAGAGATTACAACTAAAAAAAAATGCAGGACATAAATTTTTCATCCTAGCTCCCCATAAAAATCAAATGGTAGCACCCTAACTGTTAATCATGGTAAACAGTTACTGTCACAGTCATATTCCTGATACGCGATGACAATGACTGTACCAGTTCATGAACGATTCGTTCCAGAAATTGACTTGTTGTTGACTCTTTATTTTCTTACTATTCACTGAACGATATTTGTAAATGCAGTTAAAAAGTAATAACAATAAATTATCATATCCCGCCTACATACATTTACATGACATAATTATAGAATAACTAATCGAAGAATTCAAATAGAGAAAAATATTCAACGAGTTACCGAACAATTCATTAATTCACGAATGCGCGTAGCGCATGAGTTAATTATCAGTGTTGTTCTGTCACGAGTTGAATATTTTTCTATATTTGAATTCTTTGATTAGTTATTCTTTTTATTACATTGGCAAATGGCTTTTTTTTATGAAGTAGACATTTTAATGTGCACAGTTATATATGAATGAAAGATTGTGAAATGTTATTTCATATAAGGTGTCAAAACATTCCTTCCCGCTAAATCTGTAAACATGCACAAATCGCATTGAACACTAAAAAAAGAACAAAACAACTGGGAGATGAACTCTTGATAAAACTGACTAAAATGAGATGTGATTGATTGATTGATTGGAGTTTAACGCCACTTTCAGTACTATTGTGCTACTTCGTGGTGGAAAGTTTTTATTGGTGGAGGAAGCCGGAGTGCCCGGAGAGAACCAACGACCTTCGGAAGGAAAACTGACAATCCTAGCCAATTAAGATTGGAGCCAAGCACACCTGCCACTGAAAAAAGAACATAACAACTGGGAGGTGAACTCTTGATAAAAATGACCCAAAAGAGAAATGCATCGATCAAACAGCAACCCAACGATTAAAGTAAATAATAACAATTCCAATGAACGTAGAATTCTAACTGCTCATTATGGTAAAGAAGAGTTAAAGTGAGTTCATTACACTAACCCTTACATGCACGTTCTAAATTCAAAAGAAAAGGAATATCATGTTATTCTTAATCTCAATGTTACAATGGCGCTTTTATTACGATGCTAGGGGCCGTCTTTAACTTTCAGTCTGGGGCAAAGTAGACTTCGTTTGTTGATGTGGTTCATAAGTGTTTCTCGTTTCTCGTCTTTTTATATAGATTAGACCGCTGGTTTTCCTGTTTAAATGGTTTTACACTAGTCATTTTTGGGGCCCTTTATAGCTTGCTAGTCAAATTGTGACTTGGATGGAGAGTTGTCTCATTGGCACTCATACCACATCTTCTTATATCTTTTTACTCCGTATTAAGCGTATATCTTTTACAGGACCTATCTATTTTATTTATTGTTAATTTGTTCTTGTTCTGAACATGCATGAAATATTTGCCATTGTATGTATCATTCAAACCAAATTATAAAATACGTTTAACCCTTTCATGAAAGAAAATCCTCGTTGTTGCTGCCAGGTGACTATTTCTTTTACAATAACTGTTTTGTGACTAACTAAGAAATGAACAGTGTATCACATGTGTTTCACATGGAGTACAAGGACGACAATCGGAAACTTCAGAGCGTCACAGGTGTTTTAAAGAAGTGTCATTCAAGTAAAACTGATAAGAATCGTATTGACGTCATCAACTAGCGGAAGTATGTTTCGTTCTGGAAATCGACATCTACTAATCCTTAAGTATTTCCTTCAAAAATTACTATCATTTACTACTGAGCTATTTAAATGAAAATGTGTATGTAATGTGTCTATCCTTTTGACACAGTTTAATGCCTACGCTTTGTTTAATTTTAAATTTAGATCAGGTTAGCAACATGTGGTTACAAAACTAAAACCACAATCATGCACTGTCTATTATCAAAATAAGCCAACTGATGCCGAAAATCAGTGGAATAAAGATTAAGGCATCTTACTAATAGGAGGTGGTCGACATTAATATTTTGTATGAAGGAATATGAAGGCAAGTCCATCCTAAAAAGAAGCAGAATATATGATAGGGAAAATCCAACTTCAAACAATGTTAATAAAAGGCTCTTACAATTAAATGCAAAACTCCATACAATGTCAAAAAGGCTTCAACTTGAAAACAGATATTTAGCCACAAAATGTCTTATACTAGGAAGCCATTGATATTAGTAGAACATCTTCTTGGATATGGCCTTGGTTCTTAACTTATTTCGACCGACTCGGTGGTCTCATGGTAGCGTGTTCGCCTCGATTGCGGGAGGTCGTGTGTTCGACCCTTGGCCGGGTCAAACCAAGGACTTTAGATTAAATTGATTTTTCCTGCTTTTCCGCTAAACACGCGGCATTAAGGAGTGAGAGCAAAGACGAGTCGGCTCGGAATCGGGGAGAGTGGCATGTTTTCCTACGGAATAATGAACTAGCACGTTATAAATGAGAATGAGCCTGTCAGTCTAGTACAAAAGCAGGTTTAAAATTTATATTACGATAACATGTTCTCGTCCTGAATATACATTTAATTTGCCCGCTGGACGTTAAACAGCCATTCGTCATCACCACATCATATCTAATTTCGCAATATTCTATGTGGATGAGGTAACAAGGCGGCAACGCTTATAATATAATTGGTTGTGTTAAAATTTAATTGACCTCATGTTTAAGAATACATATAAAACCATAAACAGGTCAGTTAGTTTATATTTACTTCTTGTACATCGCTGCGTTTACGCAACACGATTCAGATGGTTCTGAAAACGAATGTTTTCATTCAACATTTTCATCGACGGTTTTCTACTATAGGTGTCAGACCACCTATTCACCCACTCCAATTTAGACCGTATGGAAAACTATCCCTTCCCTGACAAAAAATAGTGATTTTGATGTCATTGTTTACCTTAACTAGCCAATAAATTTGCAGAAATGCAACTTGTGTTGAAAGAGAAATATACTGTATGTAGACCATTTTGAGCCAAAATTTACTTGACCATGAGTTTGCATTAAAAATTGAGGACTAATGCGCTCCATAGTATACTTATTTAAGATTACCAGGGGTTATTTTTAGCAGTACTTGTCTTCCGATCGTTAGTTTATCCTTACAAGACTTTAAACATAGGTTGAAAATTGGCACATAGAAAGATGATATACATGTACAATTCATGATGTACCTGGTTTCTATGAAGTTAAACTTAAGGTAAAATATTTAGATAGCTGTGAAATTTGCAAAATTTGGTTGAATAGATAGGGATTTTGAATTGGTGGCCTGACACCTATAAGGACTAATTCAATGGTTTCAATGCCTTTTTGCCCAGGATTGCTGATCATTTTTGCTATTTACAGTTTTGTCTATATTCAATAGTTCTTGGGATAAGTGGCAAAAACACGAAAATTTTTCAACAACTACATTCAGGACCATAACTCCTGAAGGAGTCACCAAATGCTTTTGGTCGTATTGGCATTTTTGTAGATCTTGTTATGCTCATCATTTTTGCCTTTAACAGTTTACATACATGTATACCTGTCAAACAGAGTTTTTGAGTTAATAGGCAAACACATGAATATTAGCCAAAAATTGTCATTTAATGGCAAGTACTCCTTAATGAGTCATCTGATAACTTTGGTGCAAACTGAAAATAGAAAGATCTTGACATATTGGAATTTTTAGCCCCGTCATATTTGATATTACAAGTACAGTTTTCAAGATATGAGACGATTAATGCATTCTACCCTTATGTTCGATTTCAAGCCATGCATTGCTGTAATATTTGTTCACTGCCAAACAAAAAGTACACAAGCTTTATACTAGATACCCTATGATAATCCACTCCTAAGTTTTTTAAATTGGTTCATTCAGAAAAGAATATCTTTGAAAACTTTTACGACAACGACGACAAACGCCAAGTGATGGCAACAGCTCATACGGCTATATAACCAAGAGAGCTAAAATCAAAAGGTTCTTCCAGCCGAAATTCAGGTCATATCATAAGTAGAAAATGATAAAATACATTAGGACAATTCTTAAAAAGTTGTATTCGTAACAAAATATATATTACAACAGTTTATAGTTTCAATTTGATTTTAGTAATTTTAAAACGATATTCCACAGTGTTAATATACAAACTGTATATCCATGACCTCCTTACCTATTAATAAAGATTCAACAAGTGTTTCCTTAACGGAACCCCATACTTCCCTGAGATTTTGCAACATTAGCATTAATAAAATTCTTAAAATTTGCATTATTTAAAAAAATCTAACATGTGCAGTCAATGTTTATCATTTGATTTATGCAGATATTAAAACAATGAATTTTACTATGATGGTACCCTCGGAAACTGACAGATCGTCCGAAGAGGAAGCTGATTTAAATCATGTATCAACTGAACGCTTCACTTACATGGATCTGACAATGCTAATAATGATCATCACAACAACCAATCAAATTTCGGATGATTATTACGACAACCAATGAAATTTCTGCCTCTAAGTTTTATGAAGATAGGTATCAAAAGGAAAAGTCCCGAGGATACCGAAAAGATCTTCACACCAAAAAGTCGAGCAGAGCGTTGTCAGATTTTAGTAAGTAAAGTGTGGATACATAATCTGTTATGAATTATGATTGATGGCAGCAATGCGCTGTTAATTCTTCTATAAAAATTTTCAGTGTTCATTATGAATTTGGGTCTGGATTAATCATTTCCAAGACAAGAGGGTGTTTTTTCATCGCCTCCCATTTACATCTAATGCTGTCGACCTCTCTACCATATTCTGCAAAATCCCGAAGCAATATGAATTTGTCAAAAATTTTCCATAATCTTTCGTCTGGATTTTTAAAATTCTTCTTGGCAACACATCGTAAACAATTGACTAAATGCCATTGGATTTTATCTACTTTCTCTGGTTCCTCAAGAACACATCGATCTATAAAAAAAATATATGAAAGAAGTTACTTTTTCCTGCAGCTTTGAAATATGTTTGGCAAAAAGCATTTGTTTCTAAAACAGAATAAAAACTACTGCAATATACAGGGGCCAATCCAGAATTTTTTTAAAGGAGGTTTTAACTCCTTAAAACTGATTACTAGTAGATACCGCTGAGCGGAGCGATGCAAAATTTTGATTGGTCAATTTTAGACTTAAAAATCATATTAATCGCGAGAAACATAAGATTTATGTTTTAGGAGCGATCAAGGGGGAAGGGGATACGCGATCTACGCCCTGTCCTGGATCCGTCACTGATATAGTGTTTCAATAAGAGCTTATTTGTCTAACTATATGTTATAATTATTTTACTCAAGCAGAAGAATCAACATCTGTCATCAGTTGTGTTAGTTTGTCAACATATTTCATAAATGATCTACCCCAGGGCTGAAGGGGTATAGAACTATGGTCACCATGGTCTTTTCCCAATAGGCAGTAAAACCCTTGCCAAAAAGGGAGCGTCCGTTTGGTTGTACGGAATGTATAAATTTCCAGCCTCGTTCGGTTAGAATGAGGAATTTAAATAGACGCCTCGTGTATAATCAAGACCTGTTGCAAGCCAAACTTTCTGTCCCTATCCAAAATACCATTGTTTTCCAGTGGCAGTCCAAATTTCACAACCATGCAGAACCTACTATTTTTTATTAATTGTTAATAGTTTATAACTGCCACTGGACACTGGGCGTTAAGCAAGTGACCATCAATCAATTATAAATGATCACTTTAATTTTGTTTTATTCATTTTTTTAAAACATGCTGAGTAAAGAAAGGTCGTTTATTAACCCAAAATATTTAATGATATGAATATCACACAATATAACTATATTTCTTTCCGTTTTGAGAATTCTTACTTTTTCTGTTGCGCAATACTGAGTAAATCGGTTTTCAGACATTATATACTATTTTACGCGCCCTTTTCATTCCATCGAGATTTCACACACCAAACTTGTGCGACAACTTTGTCACATTTAGATTGTAATATTATGCACTTTATAATTCTTATTCTTTGTATTTTCTTTTTAAAAATATGTGTATGAACAGTGAGATGTACAATACGAGCTGCGTCGGATAGAAATCGACATTCTACAAGTGCACGTATATATGTTCATGTATAAGACTTTGATTGATTTTGGAATATTCAAATACGAATTTTTTTCTGTTTTGTAAGTTTCTCATAACAACTGAATTTGCAAACAATTACAGACTTGCCGTAGAATTTTTTTTCAACCCGAAATAGGTTAACAGATGCATTGATATTTATTTACATAAGGTCGATTTCTATCCGACGCAGCGCAATTATGATGTATGATGTATGGACTTTTTTGCTTGATGATTTATTTTGAAAACTATGTTTTGTTTCTACAACTTAAAAACTGTTTGGTGTGTATCTCCATCCATATAAGTCTTTGTTATTTCTTTATATAGAATCAGAAATAATTTATGTTCAGATAAGAATAGCGAGGTACATGTAGAACATAATTCGAATTTACTAGACAATGCATTGAGAACATACAACTGTAGAAAATAACTGCTTTAGTAAAGGCAACAAACATTTATATTATTAAGTGGTGGCATTGGTCTTTTTCCGGCTTTATCTAAAATCAAACTATTTTGTTAAATATAATCCAGGAACAAGAAATATTTGGAGAATAAAATGTTGCATTCAATTTTTCAACAAATTATTTTTTATTGAGAAATTAAGAATCAAACTATTTAAAAAAAAACATGTCCCTACAAAAGTGGGTGCAAATATCAGGTACAATGTATCACTCATTTTTTTTAAATACACATTGCTCAATCTTTAACTAGTTTTTTGTGTAGTCTATGATGGATTTTTATTTGTCCATTTTTTGTTGTTGTCTTTTTGCTATTCGGCATGCTGATGTCAGTTTTCTTCGAACTATAGTTTTAAAAATGCACCCTTAATATATTCTTCTCCTTTGAGCTCCTGCTTTACTTTTCATAGCACCTGTGTTCACCCCGTTTTTTATGAAGTTTGACTTCTAACTCGTTCGTCGACTGTGGCGTATATTTCATCGACTACTAGTATGTCTTAATTTTTTGTTTTGTTTTTGTGTTTTTCTGTTAGCCTTGATGTTTTATTTTGATTTGCAATGTAGCATTTTTAGGAAGTAATACATGACCTCTTACCACTAAATGTGAGGACAATGGCTCGCGCAAGTGTAACTTCCTCCACTGTCAACTGACACTTTTGAATACTGACAGCAAATTCAAACATCATATCAACATATTTCTGATCGATAATTTTAGTCATTTCTGATTGGTGAGCTCCTGGACACGTGGACGAACAAGCTATGACCTTAAGTTCCGGGTTAATTCTGGTATGAAATCCCAAAAACCCATACTCTAAATAGCCAACTGCAAAAAAAATTAAATAAAAATAAATGTGGATCGTGTCCACACGTGGACACAGATGATGCCCCCGCTTGCATATCATATAGTTATAAAGAGACTTAACTGAAGAACGATAAAAGTGACGCTACCCAAATTTGAACTTGATCTGAGTTTTGTGGTAATAAGCATTAATTGTGTGTAAGTCTCATAACATTTGGTTGAGGCTAACTTAAGTAGAGAACAGAAACTAAAAATTCAGCAATTTTTCTATTTGTAAACACCCATAACTCTAGAACAGTTGTGTATAAGTTTTACAACATTTGGTTGAGACAAACTAAAAAATTTTTATGTTTATAAAGGGACATAACTCTAGAATGGTAAAAGTGTTGCCACCTAATTTCGTACTTAATCTGTATTATGTAGTAATAAGCATTGTGTATAAGTTTCATAACATTTGGTTGAGGCAAACTCAAGTTAGAGAACTGAAACAAAAAATTGTACTTGATCCTTACTGAGTTTTGTGGTAATAAATATTGTGTATAGGTTTCATAAGGTTTGGCTGGGGAAAACTTCAGTTACAGAATGGAAACTAAAAAAATTTGCAATCTTTCTATTTATAAAGGGGCATAACTCAATAATGGTTAAAGTGACACTACCCAAATTCAACTTGATCTGTGTTTTATCAGTGGAAGTCAAAATTAAACATTGCATTGTATAAAGCATTGATTGTAGTTGATCCAACTATAATCATGGTCAAAGGAAGATAACTCCAATTTTAAAAATATATTATATAAACTTGATATTTAGAAGAAAATACAAATTCAGCAATTTTCCATTTGTAAAGGGCATAACTCTAGAACGGTAAAAGTGACGCCACCAAAATTCAAACTTGATCTGTGTTTTGTGGTAATAAGCATTGTGTATAAGTTTCATAACATTTGGTTGAGGCAAACTTAAGTTAGAGAACGGAAACTAAAAATTTTGCAATATTTCCTTTTATAAAGGGGCATAACTCTAGATCGGTTAAAGTGACACCACCAAAATTCAAACTTGATCTGTGTTTTGTGGTAATAAGCATTGTGTATAAGTTTCATAACATTTGGTTGAGGCAAACTCAAGTTAGAGAACGGAAACCAATTTCGGGACGTACGGACGGACGTACGTACATACGTACGTACGTACGTACGTACAGACGGACAAGGGTAAAACTTAATGCCCCCTCCGCTACGGCGGGGGCATAAAAAAACATTTGTTTTGCTTATCTAATAGACAATGTGCCATCATTTCAAGATCTTGATCATTTCAATAAATAAGTATGCATTCTTAGCAGCACCCCTGGTTTTAGTATGTAATATTGGAGTCTTTGTTAAACAGACTTAGAATTACCTGAGGGTGATTGATTCATACCAGACAGGTTCATGATATTTATGTAAATGTAGTAAATTTAACCTTACATTTGTGTATCAAGTTAATTGTCTAATTGTTGTATTCTTGAATGTACTCAAGAGGCGGATTTAAGGGCGCGGCCTCCCTTATGAGCTACATAATATGGTTAATGCATAGACTGTTTACATGTCTCTCTCCAAATTTTCCCTAGTTTGGTGGCCCTAGTCCCCTTTTTTCACAATCCTGGATCCGCGTCTGGTACTATGAATGTAATGTTGCAATACAGGTGATTACATGTAATTTCGTTTTTTATCATTGAAGACATTTGATTTTTAAACAAAACAAAATGGTTGATAAAATGTTCTTATATTTGATACAATAGTATGTTAACATTGTGATTAGTTCGAATTTGGTTGAAAAGACATTTACCACGAACAATTTATACCCCTAAGAAAAAATGACCTAGTAGTCAAGGTAGTTAACCTGATTATCTAATGTTGTGAGTTCGCTTTAGTAAGTGTATTGTTCTCCGATCTATATATACTGACTAGGATTGCCAATTTTCCTGCCAAAGGCCAGTGGTTCGGAATCTCTCTGGGTTCTCTGACTCCTCCACCAATAAAAAACACTGGTTGCCATGATATAGTCAAGTATTCTTAATGTGGCGTTAAACACCAACAATAAATCAATCTAATGTAACATGGTTTCTAGTGCTGAACACCCCTAACCCAGGACAGTAGGACAACAGCAAACATTGTAGCTTTGGACAAAACTGTAAAGGTTAGTTTGATATTTTATAGTGTGTCTTTTTATGTTGTAATGTTACACTACTGTCTCAGTTTGGGGTGAAGGTTGGCGACTGTTAAAACATTTAAACCCGCTGCATTTTCATGCACCTGTCCTAAGTCAGGGACCTGTTGTTCAGTGGTTGTCGTTTGTTGGTGTGGTTCATAGGTGTTTCTCGTTTTTTATATAGATTAGACCGTTGGTTTTCCTGTTTGAATTGTTTTACATGTACACTAGTCATTTTGGGGCCCTTTATAGCTTGCTGTTCGGTGTGAGCCAAGGCTCCGTGTTGAAGGTCGTACTTTGACCTATAATTGTTTACTTTTTCTACATTGTGACTTGGATGGAGAGTTGTCTCATTGGCACTCATACCACATCTTTCTTATTTATATTTACTCATTAGATCTGTATACTGAGCACACAAAGACACAAGTAAAAGTAATGTGTTTGTTATGTTTTACCTGTTATTGTAAGATAGATGTTAGAGGGTCTGGAAGTAGACATCTTCATTTTTTTGTAATTTTAGGACAATGTTTCTACTCTTTTTACTTATGCACTTCATCATTCTAAATTCTTTATTTTTTTGTTTTTTAAAATCTTTCTTTATATTTTTTAATCATTATCCTATATTCAGAATCCACATCAAGATCCTCAATTAAGATGTAAACGTACCTTTCAGTAGTGAAAGCTGATCCTGTGTTTTAAGATCGCAGAAACCAGGTATATGTCTTGCAAAAGTTATCATGTTCCGAATAGCAACTTCCATTCGGTCTGCAATCCTGTTCATCATGTTTTTTCGGTCATCAATTTCTATCCCTGTCGTAGAGAAAATTTCCTCATACACACTCCATGGTAGTGCACCAAGGTTACCAAATATTTCAATTCGTTGTTTATATCTTTCCTAAAATAAATGCTTAAACAATATATAATAAATTCACGGTAAACGGCTGAGATTTGTTTATATTACCTTAGCTGTTTTTGACAAAACCTTTCGGATTTTTGGGTCCTCAATCTCTTCAACTTCGTACTTTATGTTTGCCTTTTTAGCTTTTTTTTTATTCGAGCGTCACTACTGCGTCTTGTTGTAGACGAAACGCGCCTTTGGCGTACAGAATTTTTATTTTTTGGTATAAATAATTCTTAATTCTTTATATTGTGCATCCCATGTTTCTCCATTATTCATTTTTTTAAGATAATTTTACAAATGACAAAAACATTATGAAAAACATGCATATAAATCAGACAAGATTCAAAACTCGTCTAGGGACCATAAAACACTAATTTTCAAACATTTGAAACACGAATTTAAATTTCCTAAAGCATTTATTTTTTAAATGCAGGGTTGGACAAAACCAACGAAATCAAGTTTCCACAAAAAACATGTTTCCTCAACATGCTCAATTTTTCTTGTCCGCAGAATTAAGTTTTGTATCGCAATAAACAGATTGATAAATCTATCAAATGTTGATGCAACAAAATCGTTAATTTCATTGGCCTTTCTTGCAATGAGATATCAAATTGTAAATTTTCTATTGGCTGTTGTTAAGGTCAATGACATGACAAAAGGTGATGACACAAAATCGTTCATTTGATTGGCCTTTCCTGCAATAAGATATCAAATTGTCAAATTTCTATAGGGATTTTCTTAAATTTTTTTAACTGTTTTTGAATAAATCCAGCCAGGTAAATTTCATCTTTTTTCATACCAAGGAGAAATTTCGCATTTTTTAATTCATACCAAGGAAGTATAGATAATGCAAAAGAAAAGAAAAGAATAGAAATTATGTGTTCAAATTCAAACTGCATATTTCAGTGTCGGAAAGTATCGGTAGTACACATAAAATAAACAGAACTTACAAAGACCGATAACTGGGATTCGAGCAGACCGCCACTTTGAAAGCTTTTCCTAAAATCAGCAGTGTATTCCTCTTGAATTGAAATCAATTTATTTACTAATTCGTCAACTTCCTGTTCATTTACGTCAACATCCTGTACGTTTCCATCCCCTGGTGTGTCTCGAGTTTGATTGTCTTTCTGTTTTAGTTGATTCACCTCTGTAATATCTTTGGTTCTCTTTTCATATGTATACCTTCCAATTTTGATAGCTAAAAGGGAATTGTAGTTACATTAAATATCAATAGATTTATTAACATACATGTATCATTTTAAATTTTAGTTTCTTGTGAATAATTTGGAGTTTAGTATGACGTCCATTATCACTGAACTAGTATTCATATTTGTTTAGGGGCCAGTTGAAGGAGGCCTCCGGGTGCGGGAGTTTCTCGCTGCATTGAAGACCCATTGGTGCCCTTCGGCTGTTATCTGCTCTATGGTCGGGTTGTTGTCTCTTTGACACATTCCCCATTTCCATTCTCAATTTTATCTCTGTCCATTAATTCACTAAGTTCGTGTAGTATGATATATTATGTTTAAAGAGAGTTGAAAGATACCAAAGGGATATTCAAAGGGATATTCAAACTCACAATTCGAAAACAAACTGACAATGCCATAGCAAAAGACCAAAAGACAAACAACAGTATACAAACCAACATAGGAAACTTAAGACTGAGCATCACGAACCCCACCTGAATTCAGGGGTGATCGGGGGTGCTCCGGAAGGGTAGGCAAATCCTGCTCCATATGTGGCACTCGTCGTGTTACTCATGTACATACAAACCCGTTGATTATTCTAATTCGGTAGATCTCATTCAAGGAAAGAGGACGGAATTGTGGTTACGACAATTGGAAAATATCCGTCGTCATCAGTAGAACAGATATTACATAACAGTCAACCAACTCGTGATGGCGTCCGTAAAATTTTCGAAGGGATGACTTCAACTTCACTTGGAACTCTTGGTGTAATAGCTTCCTTGTAGTAGCAACCCTCTATCAAGGACATCATTGTAGAAAATGCAAGCTCTCGAATATCGTATCAACTGGGAGATATATACTGCTGGAATGTTGCTACATAGAAATCGAAAGTTCATAATTGCTGAAATCAACTCTTTTGTAGTAAAGTTTTGTCCTCAACCGACCCTCATTGTAAAATGTACTTTAAAAATGTCACTCAAACTTTAAACAACATATTTCGTTTGCCTGTGATCATGGTAACTGATTATTTGTTCTACGAAGTCACTTGAATCATGGTTTTTGTAACCAAAATAAACGTCATCTTATTGTAAGAGTGAATGTTAAGTCCTTGCTTTCTATCACCATGTGAAACACTTTCAACGGTATATTTATAAAGATTGGGATATTCAATAGTCTAATTACCAATTCAGTAGTTTGTGATCCATTTATACGAGCTGTTTCCTTTAGGAGGGACATAAAATACATTTTTTTTTTAAATCTTTTAAAGAAAATCTATTTTAGACAATTAATTATACATTTATATCTTTTTTGTTTTTTTGTAACTTTAACGTATTGATAGTTTTAAAATTTGTATAAAAAAAATTATTCCTTTCATAACGTTATACATTTTCAATGCTATTTATTATCGCATAGCAAAAATCGCGTGAATATGTCTAAAACGAAAATCATTTGGTTTTCAGTAACTTGTGATACAGGTAATTTTCATCAATGACATTTTTCTTACCTCCGTGTGACATTCCTACTTCAAGACATTTTTTATATCTACAGTATGAACACATTGTCCGTTTTCCAGTCCCAAGTTTGCAGTTTTCATCTCCTTTAACGCATGCGTATTTTTCATTTTTCTTTTCCACTTTTACTATACTACGACGAAAGAAACCCTTCAACAAATATTAAGAACAAATTTATTTTTAACAATGCGATGAAATAAAAATAATTCCAACCTTTAGGTATAAAAACAATATCTTTAAAATCAGATCTTTCACCATTAGCTCCGTTAGCTTTGTTTTATCGCGGGGTGTTAGCTAAGTTTGGTCGAAAGAATATTTCGCTTTTAATCAAATGATATCCAATTTCCACTTATTATGAAATCTACAATTCTTGATGAACACAACAAATTTAAAAGATGTCTTTAGTTGCACTTTTCTTGGTGCATTAATTTGGTCATATGGGCAATGTTGGGTTGAATGCAATTTTAATGTACAGTAGTATTTATATAAAAGTTTGTGATATTAGGATCACATACTTTATCATTATTTTTTGTTTGGTTGTGCGAGTTTTTTTTTCTAAATTCAATTTATTAATTTGGGTTTTTTTTTGGGGGGGGGGGATTTGAAAAAAAAACGTTTTTGGACTTCTTAATGTCTTTAAAAATTTCTGTGTTGTTTAGATTGTCGACCTAATGATATATTCCACGAAAGCCTTTCATTCGTATATTTTAACATACCTTGCATGGTTCACATGTATTAGCACCATAATGAAGACCGGAAGCCTTCTCGCCACAAACCCTACATGGCGGAAGTAGATCAGCGTCTGGAGGTTGATTTTTATGTTTTTTTGGAGGCGTGCGTGGTTGTTCGGAATCCTCTGATTCGTCAATACCACTGTCTGTTGCTGACGCCACTGACTGTTTATCCACTAAGGGGACCGAATTTAAGTTCTGATCTGGCGACAAGGATAATAAACTGTCCGACTGCGGAGAGTTCCCAACTAAAGCAATTTGATCCGGCTGTGGTGAAGTGTCTGTGGTCGAATCACATTCGTTTAAATTTTCATGGATGGATGTCATGGCTAAATCTACGGAGTTTATCTGAAATGTATTTATAATCATTTTCATTATCAGAATTGTTTTGTTGTCCAACAGTATGTTATTAAGTTTGTCGTTACTTAATTCAATGTTTTTTTACTTACCTTTGTCGAAAAAAAGTCAGCAAGTTTGTCACTGAAAGCTGACATGTCTAGCTATCATTCTTATTCAACTTTATGTTTGTCCCCTATATCGCGTAAAAAAATACCGTTGAAATGTTAATGTCTAAGTAAGATTCGACATAACTTTATTAAATGGGTGTGTTTTTATGTCGGTGTTTAACAACTCTTAAAATATGTTCTATTATATTGTATTGTATTACATTGTATTGCATTGTATTTAAAATGTATAATTGTTTGTATTGCTTGACCCTTATGGGTGTAATTTTGCAATAAAGATTATTATTTTCAGCTTAATACCTTTGCTACATCATCATGATCATGGCCGCCAGTTTTTTATTGATAGGAAAGCCGTAGTATCGAGAGAAAACTACCAACTTTCGGCAGGAAAAATTTGTCAGTAAAGATTAGAGTTGACGTATACCTCCGCGTGATCTGGTTATCGAGCCTTCGACTTTTGTCGAAAAAGCGAGTCATAGCGATCCTACATTCCGTCGGCGGCGTCCACAAATATTCACTCTGTGGTTAAAGTTTTTGAAATTTTAATAACTTTTTTAAACTATCCTGGATTTCTACCAAACTTGGACAGAAGATTGTTTATGATCATAAGATAGTATCCAGAAGTAAATTTTGTAAAAAAAAAAAATCCTGTTTTTCCGTATTTTACTTATAAATGGACTTAGTTTTTCTGCCAGGAAACATTACATTCACTCTGTGGTTAAAGTTTTTAAAATTTTAATAACTTTCTCAAACTATCCTGGATTTCTACCAAACTTGGACGGAAGCTTGTTTATGATCATAAGGTAGTAACCAGAAGTAAATTTTAAAAAAAAATCCTGTTTTTCCGTATTTTACTTATAAATGGACTTAGTTTTTCTGCCAGGAAACATTACATTCACTCTGTGGTTAAAGTTTTTAAAATTTGAATAACGTTCTTAAACTATCCTGGATTTGTACCAAACATGGACAGAAGTTTGTTTATGATCAAAAGCTAGTAGCTAGAAGGAAATTTTTATTAAAATTTTGTACTTGTTTATCCATATTTTACTTATAAATGGACTTAGTTTTTCTTCCAGTTAACATTAGATACAGTCCGCAGTTAAATTTTTTAAAACATTTATTAGATTCATAAACTATCCTGGATTTTTACCAAACTTGAACAGAAGCTTCTTACAATAAAAAAATTGTATCGAGAGGAATATTTTTATTAATATTTTCCTCATCTCATTTTTGTTGAGCCTGCGATTAACAACAAAAGTAGGCGAGACACTGGGTTCCGCGAAACCCTTACGAATTTTTTTAAATTCACAACCTGAATGTTGACAAACTACATTAAAATATGAACCAGATGAAAGCACAACAATTGATTGATTGATTGATTTTTAACGCCACTCTCAGCACTATTGTGCTCTTTCAAGGCGGTCAGTTTTTGTTAGTGAAGGAAGCCGGAGTGCCCGAAGAAAACCGCCGATCTTCGGTAGGAAAACTGACAATCCTAGTCAATTAAGATTGGAGTCGAGCGCACCTGCCACGTGCGGGATTCGAACTCACAACCTCAGTGTTGACAGGCTAGTGATACAGTAGCTAGCTCGAATACTTAGACCTCTCGGCCAACGAGGTCCCCACAACAATTGAAGAAAACAGTATAGAAATGTAACTTTACAGATAACAAGAGTGCACACACTGAAATGTCTCGCCTTCTTTACTAACCATTGATTTTATGTTGATAGTCCTAAATATAAAGCTTTACTACAAGTAACACATAAACTTAACATGATCCAAGAAAATGAGGTCAAGGTCAGATAAACCAAACGGAAATACATGTACACCTTACAATCATTCAATAAACCAAACAGAGTTGACCTATTGCTTATAGTTTCTAAGAAACAGTCTTAACCAAGAAAACTTAACATTGACCAATGAACCATGAAAATGACGTCAAAGTCAGATGAACCATGCCAGGCAGACATGTACACCTTACAATCAATGTATGCATTAAATATAGTTGACCTATTAATTATAGTATCTAAGAAACAAACTTAACCATGAAAACTTAACATTGACCAATGAACCATGAAACTGAGGTCAAGGTCAGATGATACCTGCCAGACAGACATATACACCTTACAATCTTTCCATACAACAATTATAGTTGATGTATTGCTTATAGTTGAAGAAAAACAGACCAAAACACAAAAACTCAACACTGAGAAATGAACCGTGAAAATGAGGTCAAGGTCAAATAAAACCTGCGAGACTGACATGTACATCATAAAATATTTCCATACACCAAATATAGTTGACCTATTGCATATAGTATTAGAAAAAAAGACCAAAACTCAAAAACTTAACTTTGACCACTGAACCATGAAAATGAGGTCAAGGTCAGATGACACCTACCAGTTGGACATGTACACCTTACAATTATTCCATATACCAAATATAGTAGACCTACTGCTTATAGTATCTGATATATGGACTTGACCACAAAAACGTAACCTTGTTCACTGATCCATGAAATGAGGTCGAGGTCAAATGAAAATTGTCTGACGGGCATGAGGACCTTACAAGGTACGCACATACTAATTATAGTTATCCTATTACTCATAATAAGAAAGAAATTCACATTACAAAAAATGCTGACTTTTTTTCACTGAACCATGAAAATGAGGTCAAGGACAATGGACATATGACAGACGGAAACCTCGTAACATAAGGCATCTATATACAATGTATGAAGCATCCAGGTCTTCTAGCTTCTAAAATATAAAGCTTTTAAGAAGTGAGCTAACGCCGCCGCCGCCGCCGTAGCCGCCGCCGCCGCTGCCGCCGACGGATCACTATCCCTATGTCGAGCTTTCTGCGACAAAAGTCGCAGGCTCGACAAAAACAAGGGGAGGTAACCGAAACCCTTATACCCATAATTATGACAAAATTAAATGTAATACAACTTTCCTTTACTTGTTCCCTCGGAAGATAAAATGAGTTTGATGTCTGTGATATTTGTATTTTGCCGATAGTTTTGTCACCAATCAGGTCCTTGGTTTTCTCGTTTGAATTGTTTCACTTTTGGCATGCCTTTTATAGCTGACTATATCACGTATACTGTATGGGTATTGTCCATTGTCGAAGGCTGTACGGTAATCTGAAAATGCTCACATCCACGAATATTTGTCTCATTTTCAATCATACCACTTCTCCTTATTTTTATGTTATAAGATCCTTAAATGATGTTTAATTGATAAATAACAATGAGTACTGTAATTAATTTTCAAAAGAAAGCTGTTTGGGAATAACGGCATGTAAAGAGCGCACTTTTTTATTTGATCCTTCGACGCCTTCTGTCTTTATCTTTAAACAGTGTCATTACAATATACTCTAGGATCTACATTCGGTTACTTTATTTAGTCCTTTCAATTTGTTTGATTCGAGCGTCACTGATAAGTCTTTTGTAGACTAAACGCGCGTTAGGCGTGCATAATTTTAAGCCTGGTATCTATGATGAGTTTGGTACCAATATATAGATTTGCAGTAACAATGTTCTGAAAAGCTTGATCGGCGTATTAAACTATAAAAAGGAAAGTTGGTGTTATTTTTAAGGTTCCACTAAAGTCAAAATATAGGACACTTCATAAACATCTAAACTTTGCATGTATTTTTCAACCTATAATGAGTAAAGTCCTAAACTATGAGAACATATGTTCATTTAAACATACTCAACATATACACACTGTGTAAATTGTAAATAAACTTGAAATTGTTATGCTGTGGCCAAACCGGTTCTTGAGGTGAACACTAAATTTTCAAAAAAATCTGGAGGCCTGCGAGACGACTTAATTTGCTTAAAATTGGTATGGACGAATACTGTTACATGTAATGCAGGGCAAGCTCATGTTGATTTGTCACATACATATGTTTTAATGGCATATTTGTCCAATTTCTGTATTGTACCTTCGATATTTGTTCACCTAGATACATGAAATTAACTGAAACTCGAAAATCAATACATTTTCTGAAAAATCAACCTGAGCTTGCCCTGCATTAGATATAACAGTATTCGTTCATACCAATTTTAAACAAATTAAGTCGTCTCACAGGCCTCCAGATTTTTTTGAAAATTTAGTGTTCATCCCAAGAACCGGTTTGGCCACAACATAACAATTTCAAGTTTATTTACAATTTACACAGTGTGTATATGCATGTTAAGTATCTTTAAATGAACATATGTTCTCATAGTTTAGGACTTTACAAATTATAGGTTAAAAAATACAGGCAAAGTTTAGATGTTTATGAAGTGTCCTATATTTTGACTTTAGTGGAACCTTAAATCGAGAAAACGCTTGATTTGTGCTAACAGGAACACGAATAAACTATTTCATCGTTTTGTGGTAGTAAAGCAAAGCATATTGAAGCGAACCTGCATAGTGACAACGCTATTAATAGATTATATTTTAATTCTATTTGTTTTTTAATTAAGAATGTCGTCTAATGCATTATCATGATTATTACCGATTTCCTTTACAAATAACACATGTACATAAAACGTTTAAAATTGTTATAAATGTGCGTAGGTGGGTTTTTTTTTTATCTATCCCAATGTTAATAAGTTTAAAGGGACATCCCAATGGTAATTATAGTATATTTTCTCGTTTAAAATAACTAATAATGTTCATGACAGTGGCAATTAAAAGTGGGAGATTTTTCTTACACAAACAGAAACCGCGTCGCGTGATTGTTCTGTAATGTCCTAAAACGAAAAAAAAAGAACTATAATAATGATTTCATAATCTCCATGCGGTCAGACAGTGTTTATCACGATAACTGAAAGTAATTATGTGTGTGTGACATACCAAATCAATGTAAAATAGTACTTCATAAGAATTC